CAGTCATACAGTAGGCTACGGAGAGCAGCGAAGAAACATTTCCTCAGGCATCGAAAAGCGGAACCGAAATTCACATTTCTAAATGATGCCGTTGGAATCAAAATGTTGGAACCGGTTCCGAACCAAAACCGGTTCTCGGTACCCAACCCTACCAGCACCATTTCGCTTCTGTGCTCTTAGTCAAAATGACAAAATAGCACTTGACTGGAAAGTTACTGCTATTTCCTGCTTATTGCGTTGATCCAACTCCTAATCATCACATCCAACCCAGCAACTTCAGCAACTAAATTGGTGTATGGTCCCATGTGAAACCAAAGGCTGAGTTGTTTTGTTCTGACAATGGTATTCCGCTGTTTTATCTCAAACCATGAACCCTAGCCCTAATCCTTAACCTCAAGAGGTGCGTTCACACCATTTTTCCCACTTTAGTTCCGATATAGTTCCGAAACGTTGCGTTCACCCCAAAAAAATTCGGAACTAAAATGTGTTAATGAGAACCTTTCTACCCCCTTTTCCGTCCCTGCTAGAGAGCAGGAACTTACGTGGGAGAAAAAGGTTCCTATTTCTGATTGGCTGGGCGGATTGCAAACCACGCCCCGTAAAACTCCCAAAAGGTTTTGTGAAGCCGCCATCTTATTATCCTAGCATTTGCATTATTAACATTAGCATTAGCCCAGCGCACAAACGCAGAGAGACCAACTTATAGCAACACAAGAAAATATGGGAGCGGTGGAGATGAGGAGGTGTCGGCGTTCTGGCAATTTACTCGGAAGGCTTCAGTAGAAGCTGCTGGGAGTCCCAGCAGCATCTACTGAAGCCAGTCCCTCAACTCCGGGGACTTCCGGCCGGGGACTTCGGGTGGCAGTATACGCTGTGAAGTTGTTTGCGGCCTACCAGTAAACCCAAAGCAGAAGAAGAAGAAGAAGAAGAAGAAGAAGAAGAAGAAGAAGAAGAAGAAGAAGAAGAAGAAGAAGAAGAAGAAGAAGAAGAAGAAGAAGTGACATCAGCGGCTCCCTCAGGGACTTGCGTGTGAACGCAATTTACTAGATAGTTCCAGGAAATAAAAGTTCCGGGAAAGGTTCCGGGAACTATTCCTGGGAAAAGTACTTGGTGTGAAAGCGCCTATTAGGGATGAGTCATGCCAATAGTTACACCAAGTAAAAGCCAACGCATGGTAGCTTTGAAGTTGTAATGGCTTTTAAGATCGCCTTTTTACTACCCATACGTCATGTGTAATGTGCATGTCTAGTTGCTAGGGATTTATCTGTTTTGATCATCTCTGCCTGTGACTGAGGTTTTGGTTTAATTCCGCTTGATGACTCATCCTGAAGGGGAATAAAACAGAGTCCCCCCGTGTGCAAAGTGAGTGCCAAAATGCTCTCTTCGTGCACAATCCCCATTGCCTAATCCGACCACTCCAAAATCATTTCCCCAAAGAAACACAGACACATTTGTGCTACATTTAGGAAAAAAGTGGACCTGCTGCAGCCGTAGGAGTAAACAGTGGAGAGGTTTTGAGATGCTTGAATCTTAAGCCACAGTGATTTACGAGCTGCGTATATGAATGTGCTTCTCTGTTATCAACCGGTATGCTTTTATATTTGTGTGTGTATGTATGTGTTTAAACAAGGGTGCCCTGCACTTTCAGAGCTCCTGCAACCAGCTGTCCATCTCCAGCATCCAAGGCTTCCTATTTAAATCACACAGATGTGCACACTTGAACAGAAACACACTTACACACTCACTTGAATGCTTCCCCAGTCTTCCCTAGACACAGACTCGTCATGTGCTTTCTTTTGTAAATACTGGTATTTTAGGGTTCAATGGACCAGGCACATCTTCCCCACAGTAAGGTAAGAATTTAAACTCACTTAGGGTGTTTTGAAAAAATTCACATAATTCTGCAAAGGCTCCTGTTAACACTGATAAAAGTAGGACGGTTGTGTGTGTGTGTAAAAAAGAGGGCAAGAGAAAGAGATACTGTCTTTATACTGTCTCTCTTTCCTGTGTCCAGTCAATATGCACTTCTCTTAGACCAACACCTATTGTAAGTAATATCTAAATGTATAGTCAAGGAAAAGAGAAAAATACTTTTGATATTCCAGCTTTTATATAAACCGAGCAGGTAAGAAACATAAAATAGACCAGAACCAAAGGGTAATATTGTTGTCAATGTTAACATTAGTGTTGATTGGCCATTACATTGGTACATTTAGCTATTTCTTGGCTGAATGCCAAATCTGCTTACTGCTACTCCCTCCTCCACCCTTACCTCCTTCTAGAGTTCTATATAGATGTTTCTTGGCTCTAAAAAGTTGGGATTCCACCAGCAGTAACTCCAGGAAGAGACTGATAGCAGCAAGGAAATAGTCCTGCACTTAACCATGAGAAAAACAAACATTCAATTTAGTGTTTGAAACGCTGGTTATTGTAAGGATTACACAAATTATAGTGAATATTTTGAAAAAAAGTGCTCTGTTCCTTTAAGGGTGGTTCGTTCCTATAGAAGAATCATCATACATTCAGGAATATCTCAGATTTTAACAACATCTGTACATGATTTCCATGGCCACATCAGTTCACTGTAACTATATTACAATTTTAAGAAAGAATAGTGCTATTAGTCATGATTTGTACTGCAAAGTTAGGTTTGGAAACGCTATCATTTCCTTTTGGGCGGGCATGCATAACACTGCATAACACCAGAGCCACGCTGTGGGGAAACTTTGGCGCTGTTCTGAGTTTGTT